CCTACACAAGACTTTTGCAATTCTAACCTTAATAGCTGCACCTTTTTGATAATTTGGGGAGGTTTTTTTATAGCTTAACTTTAGGATGGTTAAGAAAAATACAGGTAGCTTTGGTATTTGGGGCTGTCACTTTTAGCTTTGTTTCCCAGGTGATAGAAGAACTGAGCCTTTTCTTACTCTATGGGCAAAATAATAGTATTTTCTCATGCATTACATTTTCATGCATTTAGGTGAAAGACTAACTAGAACAAGGACTCTACTTGGCAAGACATAACAGAAACCTTTTTTAATGATGTCTTTTAATCTCTGTTAAAAGAATTAGGCTAATAACTTCCTTAAAATATATTTGTACAGTGCTTTTGAGATATTGAGGGTCAAAAACCTGCTTTAGACTGAGTAAGCTTAAGACTGAAAAAGCCAACTAGAAATTAAACATTTTCAATACTGCTTTTGATCCAATAAACACATTAGGTATTATGGAGTCACTTGTTAAATATCTTCCCTAATTTACCAAAGATGAATAAAACCTTGATTATTTTAATAACATTCCATTTAATTTTTCAGAGAATAACTAAATGCTATCCTAGCTACTCAGACATAGGGCTATAACCTAAGTTTTTTAGGAGATCAGGCAGAGAGCTAGTTATAGCCCTATGTCTGAGTAGCTAAGTTTTTTAGGAGATCAGGCAGAGAGCTAGGGGAAACAAATTGTAATAAAACCAGACTAGAAAGACTCTGTGCTTCCCACAGAGCAGGGCTTAATGTTCCTTCACTAACACCTTGCCGTTCTTCCTTAAGCTTTGACAATTAAATGTCCTGAGAGACCTGAACAGAAGCCAGTAGAGAAAAAGCTACCAGGTAAGAAGTCTCGGCTTGTGCTTAAGCAGTTGATTAGTAGCTCCTTTGCAACGAACTCTATGAAAGACGGGCAGCTGCCTCTGGCTTTGTCAGCCTCTCAAGCTTGTCCCCTGAAGACTCTGTCATGTAAAATTACAACAAAGGTAGAAATTGTTTGAAAAAGTCATCATTTTTTTCCAGCCTTCATTCCTACTTTCAGCCCAGCTTGAAGATTAAAAGGTGGTACTTGTCTTATGACTGCTGCTGTTGGTTTTATGATTAATGTGTCTGAGGCAAGCAGTGGCTAATTGGCTGGTAGGAAATCTAGGATACTGAGGTCTAGTATCTAATACATTAAGTAAGTTAGAAATCTAATTTTGACCTGTATCAAATTTGTCTTTTGAAGCTTTAATGCTTGTAATGAGACCAGAATGAATAGACTTTGTTCTAAATCAGACTGTTTTGGAAAGGTGTGTCAGAATGGAGTCTGACAGAAAAGACTTACTCAAGCTTTATTCTAAAATAAAAAAATCACATTTATTATCACAAGTTGCATAAAATCAGATAGATACAGTTTTTACAAAAATGTTTGATAGAAAAATATTTATCTAAGTACAATGTGTGGTATTACAGGAATAACTCACTATTGCTGTGCCTTTAGATAAAGCTTCAAAAGAAGTGAAAGTTCAACCAAAATATTGAGTATATCTATTGCAAACACAGGTATCGGGTATCACCTCCGGAATAAACTGCATTTACTCATTCAAGATCCATTACAAAAAATAGCCTTTTGTGTAACTGACTTCATAATGTAAACAACTCTACAACTCTGCTGGCAACTTGTTTGACACTAATTAATATAACACCATTTCCAAGAATGGCACGAGTTCCACAGTGACATTCCTTTATTTGGGCTGGGAAGGTCAATTCCTGGTAATGAAAACTTCAAGGAACAGTCACCAGATGCAAGTAGCACGAGCCTGACTGGGATGTGTCCCAAAGGTCACTTAGATTAGCATGTAGTAAATTCAGACTAAGAAATGGTGAATTATGAAGCCGTAACCCTTTAATTTGGTGTATGGGATCAAAGAGCTTAAACTGTAGTAGCACATCCTGTCCTAGCCCCTAGAGATTAAACTATTTTCAATTTGATATTAGCAGTTACGGTTTCAGGTACAAAAAGACATTATTGCAGTGTTAGAACTGAAGCAGCAATACAGCCTTTCGCTGTCGCTTTAAGCAAGTATAGTTGAAACACTAGTACTTGGCTACAGCTCAGTGATAGCAGCATTTCTCTACTAACTTTTCTTTCTTTCTTTCCCCCTTGACAGAGTCAATGACTATTCAGAGGGTCAAAGGATTGCTCTATCGCCTACTTAAAATTCCTGGTTCAGAACTGAAATTGTCCTACGAAAGTTCTAAGGTGAGTTAAAAACAGGTGATTCAACAATTAAATACTGCGTGCTGCTAATGGTCAATACCATGTTCTAAAATACTACCAAATGGAATTGAATTCACTTAAGCAGGGCAGTCTTCATGCTGTAATTTCGGACCCAGTTTCATTCCTGTGATATGACGGATCCTCTCTGACTGCAACTGCCTGATCTATATTTTGTTTACAGGAACAGATTCAGTTTAAGTCTGATCAGGTTATTTTTTTTTTTGGTCTTATTCTAGCTGGAAGGAAAAGAAGTTGAACTAGACAACGACTTAAAGCCTTTGCAGTTCTACTCAATAGAAAACGGAGACTGCGTGTTGGTACGGTGGTAAGAAGGACTGAAGGAAAAGCCAGCCCTGGAACTGCACAAGAGTTCCAGGCTCCACACAGTGAGGATGCACAGCCTCTGCCTCAACACCCCCATGGGAGAATGGGAATTTCATAGGTGGCACCAGAGGGCTACACGCTAATACTTTCAGCTTCTAAAACTGAAGCATCAGTCTCCAGGAAAGCATTTACTTTGGGCCAAATTGTCTTACTTCAGAGATACCAAATACTATGTAAATGCTTCAATTAAATAAAATTTCAGGTAACCCTTTTGCCAAGACTTTATACTACCTTCCCACTGCAGCTGTGAGAATTTGTTTCACCAAACTGAGTACACAATTTAGTTCTGATCACTGCTTATGATGGGATGAAATTAGGGGCTGTCCTGGAAGAGGCTACTTTCTCATTTTGTTTTCACCTACTTCCAAAGACCTTAAAGAGAACAAAAGTAAAACAGCAGTAGTTGTAGAAGTATCTACACAGCCTTAGACTATTTAATGCCAAAAATCTCACAGACCTTTATTCTACCCTACAGCATTAACATGCCACAGTATAAATAAACTCTCAGCACACTGCAAGGCGTTGCTATTTATTTTACACTGTTTAGTGCGCTGTTCCTCAGTCTGATTTTACTTTCACTTGTGTACCCTCAGATTTCCCTAACAACGTGTTGAGCTACCAGAAATACCTCCTAATCAGGCCAAGTTTGCAATACTTCAAGATTTGGTATAAGCAAACTTTGATACTGTTTTTATCTAAAATGACAATGGCATAGACAAACTGAACATAAATCCTAACCCGTAGCTGTCCAGGCCCCTGCCCAGATGGGGGCACTGCCTCAGACAGCACAGGACCTGCTGCAGCACGACTTACCAGATGCCCTGGTGCTGAGCACAGCTCTCCGCTGCATCCTGGTACAGCTCTATACTGAGTTAAATCAGTAGTACTTTAATTTACAAAAGACAGGCTAGTTGGCATTCTTATGTGCATTTATTAATTGCAAGTAGGTATTTGACTTTATATAAAAATGAAATTTTTTTTTAAATCTTCAACATTTTGGTTTCTGTCAGATCAACATCTACACTATAGAAAATGAATAGTATCAGTCCACTTGTCATTATCAAAAGGGATGTGCAAATATTGTTATATTTTAATTGAAACCCCACATTAAAAGATGCCTCAATATTCCTCATTGGTCTAAGAATGAATCCAAATGTACACTTTCCCATGATCGTTACACGCTACCCTGTATTCCAAGGGAAGTCCATCATCTCTCCTCACATCTACAGGGATCTCCACACAGTTCCTTTAATCGCCAGAGCTCTCTCAGTTCCTGTGGAGAATACTGGGGGGAAGACAGCATGCCGCTCTCGCACGTCTTCTCACACAACCACAGACTGTCCTGTTAGAGGGAGAACCACATCAATAGTTTTTCTTACAAAGAATTTAGTCTTCAACAAACTTTACTTTCAAGAATCAGGGTTTCATTGTTTCTAGCAACAAACTTGGCACACAAAAGTCATCAACTAGAGGTATACGTCCTTCTCTGATCTGCTAGATTGTTCAGAGAACTTGGGGGTGGGCATTGGTTTGTGAGGTTTTTGTGTTTTCAATACATACTAACACGTTTTTGGGGGTCTCTTTCAATGTTTCTTTGAAAAGAAAAAACATTTCCCCTAGTTTATGCTACTTGGAACAACAGGCATGTTCTCTTTCCATAAGTTCAGAGAACTTCTTCAGACTTACTTGATACCGCTTGGGTCCTACAGCTGCCATCCAGATGCCCATACTCACATCTTCACCCTGAGACAACACATTAAAATAAAAATACAGATATTAGCAATGAGACAGCATGAAGCATGACTTTATGAGCTAGAGTAAGTTGCATCATATACCATCAATAAGAAATGGTAACTACAAAGACCTATTCTGACTTTAGAGGTGTTAAATTAATCCTCCCAGCTTTCCTGCACAAACCCCCAAGATTAGAGCTCCAGAGGTTCTCAGTCCAAAACACTTGTGCTTTGACCTAGAACAGACACTAAGCATGGTGACCAAAAGCACTGCAAAAACAGCATTAACCAGGAGGACCCAACACCAACACCTGAGCAATGTTCTTTCTAACTCGTCCAGTACACATGCAGCTCCCCAGACCGGTTTACGATAGAAAGACCTGAACGAACATTTTACTACCTGGTACGTCTTTAATCTTTCAGAGTTGCTTGCCAGCCACTGAACAATGTCTTTGGAGATGACATAGCCGGACCCGCAAGCGAAGGCTGGATATGCAGGACTTGGGTACTCCAGCTCTTGCCATTTCCCAGTTCGATCAACTGCCCAGTTTAGTCTGAAACTGAACACGTTAGACAGGAGATGCTTATACACAGCCCTCTGTAAAACCTAAGGATGCTGCTAACAGCTGAAGTAACACTGATAATATTAAGAGGAAGAAATAGAAGATGATCCTAATTATAGTTCCTAGCCTTATTTCTGTAGGGCACACATCTAAATCAAACACAACAGCTGTAAGTGTAACGGTAAGTGTAACTATTGTTTGGTCCCCAGCTTGGTTAATAAGAGAAAGTTCTCAGAACAGAAACACAACATTGACAGCCAGGTCTTCAGCATGTCTGCACCCACTGCTGGGCTTTGATCCAGATAAGCAGAAGCATCCTGACCTTCGTTCTGCAACCGCGCATTTGTGTCCAACTCCCTTGGTCAATCAACACCACAAAGCCAGTACCTCCAGCAGGCATGTGGTTACAGCGATGTTACACACAATCCATTTTCCTGATAGAACTAGTGGCTGCTTAAAAAGCAGGAAGCAAGGCAAAGTACTGAGCTTTTTTTTCATGTATCTTCTTAAAGCTGTTTTTCAAACAAAACTCTCAAAGTAGATGTTCAACAAAGGCTGCCATCACTGAATTAGGAAAAAAATCCTTCCCAGCAGTCATCTTCTCTAAGAAAGATTGTACTTATTCCTAGTTGCTTACAGGAAGCCTGCAGTGCTCTGCCTGCACAGTCCTTCCATGCTGACTCTCAGCCTTAACACGCTGCCGCACCACACAGCGCTGCAGACTCTGTTAAACTGCTGTGCTGGGCTGCGAGAAACACGCTGCTTCTCCTGCTCAGGAACAGGCTGCTATTACACTCACCTTACCAGTGCTTCACGTACACACGGCTAAGTGGCACAACTATGTCAGGGCTGCAGGTTCTCCCTCTTCTTGGCAACAGGTTCAAGTGTTGCTGAATTTGGTCCCGAGCACAAGCAGCTAAAAGCTTTGGTGAGCTACCAAGAACTGTCACCTCAGACAACAGCCCAGTAAGGGAGCAATGACAGCTGAGCTGCAGGGCCTTTCGATCAGACTCCACATTCACAGCTGCAGTTGACATATTAAAGTAGCAAGGAGATAAAAATCACAAGGGATACCTGAATTCATTTTAGACTCCTATCTTCCACTCTAGTGAGTCACAGCAAAAGGGTGTGACCCCCTCCAAACTGAGGGGCACCTGCTTTGCTCAGCATTTTATACTTCTGTAGTGATTCCAGTGTTGTTCACTACACCTCACACTTGTTTTACCTGAAGACTATAACTATCAGAGAATTTACACTTGAAGATGTCACCCTTACATAAAAGTTCTCCACAGACACACACAAAAGATGATGTTTTATCCAACTCCTCTCTGAGCACAACTTGTCATTTCCTTTTGTCAGTAACCAAATAAAATCATTCAATACCTTAACGCACTACTTTATAGCAAGACTCAGCAAAACTCGATTTTTAGTCTGCAGAAGAAAGCATTACTGATCCTCTTAAGTTCATTCAATGGCTACTCTAAAGCAAGCCTAGAAATAACCTTACTGGAACATGAAGCTTGTTACATTCAACAATGCATCTTGCACCCCGGGAAAAAGGCAGGTTCAGATTACAAATGAAATGTACCTTCATGGAAAACTTCAAGTACTTGAAGTTTATTTTCGGCCTAATTCCTTTGGCCTTAGGTCAGGAAAAGGTGCCATTCTGAACTCCTGCTGCTTTCCACAGCACGCTAGATGATCCAACTTCAGCGAACTGCCTTTTCATTTACAGCATTCATACTAGATTCAGTTCTCCAGAAACAGCTTGGTGCATTCTAGCCCATCAGAAATTTGATCATTTACAGACATGATCGCTGATCTGTCAAAAAAATCTCTTTCATGCCCGAGGGTGACTGATCTTTCGACTGCAGTTTTAAGAGGAGAACAGCAGTACCTTAAGGTATATCTGTTCTCTCCAAGATGAGCCAAAGCTCTGAGGTAGAATGCCTGGACCCCTGAAATACTCTAGATTAGCTAATTAAGCTTTTTAAATGGTGATTGAAAATTAATGAACAAAACTGCTACACAATATGAAGTGACATGAGAAAAGGGCTATTACCTGAAAGCACACATAAGTACTGCTTAATCCAAAGCATTTCTTCCCAGTTTTGGCCAGACTAAACAGGCAATTTCCAGAATTCACAAGAACTCTGACAAGTTTCTCTAAGAATACAGGAATTATTTAAGTATTATCAGATTATACTGGACACTGGACGATAAACAAAAAACCTGCCTGAACTAGAGGGAGCTGAATAAGGTCTAGGTGAAGGTTGAAAAGTTTGAGTCCTCAGATGCATGCTTAAAGGAGCAGAAGGAAGGAAGACCATCAATAAAGTCACCTCAAGGGCCAGATATCTTAACCGTCTGCTCAGGAAGTTAAGGTCTCCACGCACCAGAACCAGCTCTCAGAGCAGCCTAACAGCCTTTCCTTTGCACCAATGCTCAAGTCTAAATATATAAGATGTCACTGAGTTGAAAGGTAGGAGAACTTGGAAGGATCCCTCAAAACCCCTCTGAAGACTCCTGTACACTCAGTAGCTACCCACAAAGCTGAACACGTAGCCAGAAAACTCTGGCCAAGGAGCTGGCCCATGGTAGGCAGCAACACAAAGGCAGGGACACCTACCACTGCATAGGTAGGGACACCAGGGAGGAGAGGGGCAATCTGTTTGGTATCACATCCTCAGCTCTTACAGCCAAGAACGTTCCCCAGAACAGCTTTCCCTATATCTTCTGGAACAGCCGCCCAGGCAGCTCAAATACAGCGCTATTTGTAATTTTGCAAGTTGCTTTTCATCTTGTCATCAAGTTCCTGACATTTTAAATTGCTAAAATGTCCCTATCTCACCTTCACTATTAGACCTGCCTTGTGGTAAAGGTAGTCCCAAGAAAATTTAACAGGCATCAGGCAATCATGGGTTTTGTACAGGCTAGAGGACACATGCCCATCACTCGGTCTTTGAGATGATCGTAAGACAGCCAGTTCTTCCACACACTTCCACACACGCCTTATGAGTAAGCAACAGTCAGTACCAGATTTGGGAAGCAAGACACCTTTAGCAGCAAAGACCAGCTTTTCTTCAGTGAGCAGATGGCAAACTGAAGACACAACGTGCCATCGTACCATGCTGAGTGTTATGGCAGCACAGCATTTCTGCTGTACTGGATGTTACACCAGTGCAGCAATGCATCTCAAGGATGGAAGAGATGGGCTATTTTGATCCTCTTAGTTATTCACAGATGTAATACAGGCTGGGGGATTTCACTCAAGAGTTCAGGAATCGGATCCATCATTTCCGACAGCAGCAAAACAGGTAGCAATGTCTGTCAGGCACAGACTTCAAAATAAAGTGCAGGCTTTAAAGGCAATTTTGTTTCTCCTGCTCACCCCATTTTCTCAAGCCCACCAGAAAAATCACAGCAGCTTTAAAAAAAGTAACACTTACAATTCGAGTATGTAACTTCACTGTACTGCTGGAATACTTCTATTTACTCAAGTACCACAACAAAGACATATACAATACATTTTAAAACTAGGTAAGATATGCAGCAAGTTCAACTCATAAAGGCACACTCTAGAAAGCTATTGTCAAGGACTGATTCCTGTAATCTGAGATTCAAAGTTCTACACATACAAAAGTCCTACATTTTTTAACTAGCTTCCATAGGCAGAAGAGGGGAACCTACATGAAAACAGACTCAAATAGTAAACTGTTCACTAAAGACAAGCTAAATTTCTTAAAGACAAGTGTAAAAAAAAAAAAAAACAAAAACAACTCACTTTCCCCACCAAATGTTTGGCCTGTCCAATTTTTTCTGCATTATCCTGTTAAAAACAGCCTCCAAATCAATGTAACAGTCATCATCTGTCTTCAGCAACAAATCAAAACTCGTTGATTCAACTGTCCTGTAGCCAGAAAGAAAAGTGATGAGATGCTGAGCTTAGCCCACAAACTACAGTTATGCAACAGAACACTCCACAAGGGTTTTTCGGGAAGCAGAGGGGGAAATAAGAGGGAAGGAATGTCTTTCCCACCCTTGACTTTTAAATGTTTTCCCTACTGACCAAGGCTGACTGCTTGTCCTACAGAAAGATGATGCAACTATATCCTGTGGTAATCTTACAACACGGATTTGTGTATGAGCTGAAGAAAATAAACTTCAAGTTCTGTTCTCCAGGACAGATGGTGGATTTACTAATGAATCTGTCTTAAACAGTATTGACCTCAGAGGGATACGAATCCCTCAGGATGATGGCAACACAGCTGTTAAAAACCACTGGCTACATGTCAGCCTCCTACTCTTCAGGATGAAACAGTCAGTTCAAAGGCCATGCAACTGTAGAAGGTTGTAAGTAATATCTGTGGAAACAACTCGGTACTTACTCTTCCTCAGTAGAGCATCCTTCAAATACGAAAAAAAAGTAATCTTTAACTGTCTGAAACAGTTGAATATCTGTCACTTGTAAAATAACCAAAAAAGCTCAAGATTCTAGGCATTATTCCTTGATTGATTAACAAATACTGTTAAGAGAACTTAATCTTCAAGCCAAGGCATTTTCCTTAAGCTTTTTATTACTAAATCTTGAAAAATCTGCTAATCTGCAAGAAATAATCACAAAGACCTATCTTGACATTTAAATTCCCTTTTTAGAGCTGAAAGCACAGTTCAGTTTTTCAGTTACATTCATAACCATGAAATTTGCTTAATAAGTGCATAATCTTACAAGCAACTAAACCCATGAGCTGTACTTCTTACTCCACAGCAACATCAATTAATTGAAACAGTTGTCTCCGAGTAAAGACTTGCAAATCAGAGGTAATAACTTATTAGATTCACCACAGACAATGTGATACATGGGAAAATTCTTCCTCTCAACCTTCCACCCTCCCTGTACACAAGCTTCCTATCCTTCCTCTCTTCTCAGCACCGGTGAGGCCACCAGTGGAGCACAGCGTGCAGCCTTAGGCTCCTCGGGACAACATGGACATAGACACCTTGGATGGAGAGTCCAGCAAAGGGCCACCACGATGCTGAAGGGGCTGGAGTATTTCTCCTATGTGGAACGGCTTAGAGAGCTGGGGCTGCTGAGCCTGGAGAACAGCAGGCTCAGTGAGGAGGTCATCAATGTGTATGAGTACCTGAAGAGCAGGGTGTGAAGAGATGGAGCCAGGCTCTTTTCAGCAGTGCCCACTGACATTACAAGAGTCAATGGCCACAAACCAAAACACTAAGTATACAAGCCGGCCAAAGGCCATCCTTTAAGACTAGAGCTGCTAGTTTTCAGTCAGAAACAAATTAAAACAAATTACAAGGAGAAATTAAAATTTTCACACCTGACCTCTTGGGGCAGAAGATTGTCTCATCAGCTCATACTTATCTAAGGCACCAATGGTCAGCATTCAAGAAATTTGGATCCTGTGATTTTACCCACTACATGCCCCCAAAATCGTGAGAGAGAAATACAACTTAACTAAGTAAATCACATAAGATATGTATCCCATGGAACATGGCAGATAATGTAACACACTGGATCATCTTGGACTACAAACAACAACATGCCTAACAGAAAATACTTTCTCTTCAACTTACCATCGGTAGAAGTTCAACAGTTTGGCTGGAACATTTCTATAAGTGTCAATAACATCTACAAAAACAATATCGTCATAGGTACGGCTTTCTTCCTTTAACAAACCATCTTCTTTTTCAAGATTTTTTACATGACTTGTAAATCTTTCTAGCCGAGTATGGAGGCTTTTTAAAAGAGCATCACCTTCTGAAAGAAACAGTAGCCATCATTAAATGAAGATGCACGCCTACATACTATTTCCCATGTTTCTCTTGGATCATACACGACATATTGACAAAATTAATCTGAAGAAGTGTTCAACTCAATGGGGTTATGAAAATCCTACAATTAATTGAAAATTTTCTACAAAATGTTACAAGCTGCAGCACAACAAAGAAATACATTTTTGCATAAGGTTTGATACAGGAAGTTCAAAGAATAAATATATTGTCTTCCTTTTCAGTAATAAAAGGATTCAACTTCTTAAGCTTCTTTAATATAAAGAGCTGTCAGGGTCTATTAGCAGTAAAGTAAAAAGGCCACTCTTTTATCAGTCAATCCTAACCTTATACATCTAGCATGAAAAAATAACACCCAAAACAAACAAAAAATTCCTGTGCTAAATACAAGCAAATTAGCATTGCTTTGATGTAGCATAGGCAGCCCCTGACTGACTTCAGGTAAATCACATCACCGAGTTCCTCACATCACATAACTGAGTTCAGGTAAAAGCTAAAAAATATTGCATGAACACTGAACTTCTTGGTAAGAAGATTTGGTAAGAACTTTTTGACAAACAGGATGGAAGTGATTTAGCACACCTCAATTTAGGCTTCCACCCAGATGAAAAGGCAGCAGGACTGTCCTATTACATCTTAGCTATAAAAATACACGAATAACGCTCAGCAAGTCAGTGCTTCTGTTGGCTGTGATGGATCAGTAAGAATACAAAGAATCTATTGCTTTGTGACTAAAATCTTAGATGTTGGAAAGTGGTCCTATAGAATGTCTGAACATTTTGCTGAAATAGGTGTAAAACAGCAACAACAGGGGAGGGAAAGTAAGCCATGTTAGGAAGTCACTGTTTGTCAGTAGATAAACATCATGACACAGTACTTCTATCACTATCAAAAAAATGCACAAATAAACAGCGAAAGATTTCGTTGCACAACATTTTGTAATTTCAGTTTGGGCAACAAAACACAAGGACAGAGACAAAAGTCTAGATCACAGAATCACAGAATGTTCAGAGTTGGA